CCCCCGCCCCCGCCCCCGCCCCCGCCTCGACCCGAATAACCCGAGATATATATATGTATAAGATCATAAACCCTGATCCCATTCCCAACCTACCTATAAAGTTAATTTCAAAATTCAGTGGCCCACTTTTTTTTCTTTGTCTAATAAGGCAACATCTATTATCTTTGTGTTTTTTTTATGACTTTTGTTAGATCTGTGACCCTTTTTGTTAGATTTGTGATGAACTTTGTTAGATCTAAGGGTCTGTGTTGTGTTAACTATTGATGATTTTTGTTTCGGATCTATAGTGTGTTAGATACTAGGCTTTTAGATGTTGCTTGTTTTTTTTTTTTTTTTTTGGTGTTAAATTTATAATTTTTATATGCTACATCTGATTTTCTGTGTTAGATATGCAATATTTTGAATTTTCTAATTTTATGCTACTTGAATATAGTTTTTGTTGAATTCTGAATATAGTGTTAAATATGATTTTTGCTGATTTTTGAGTTTATTCTACTTGAATATGATTTTTTCTCTTTGAAAATTGTTGGATAAACTTTTTACTTGTTGGATAGATTACTTACTTACTTAGTATACTAAATGCTAGTCTTTATTGATGAGAAGAATTATGCGGTAATTTTTAGTTTGTGACATGCAATTTTTTGAATTTTTTGGATTATTTATAATGTTGGATTATGTTGGGCTTGGGCGGGGGGGTGAAGGCGAGGACGGGGTGGCGATTACAAATTTACCCGTGTACGGGGATGGGATGAAAACTATACCTGTTAACGGGGGCGGACAGGGAATGAACGGAGTTTTTTTAACCGAGTATAGGGATGGAGACTACACCCCGCCCCCCTTCGGTCCCATCCCTAACAAAAAGGGACAAATATGGTACATAATGCCATGTTCATGAGGAGGATTAAAAAGTTTCTATACTATGTGTCCATGTTAGACATATTAATTGCATCCATGTCACGAAAGGAATATGAGGATGCCTCTATATTTAAAATTAAATCAACTGCGGGAAGCCAAAAACCAGGTCAATTTATCCAATTACTGTATCAGGTTGGCCAGACACTTTTACCACTTCACAATTCAAACTCACAAGTAGAATTGTTTTTTCTTTTTTTCTAAAATAATTAGACTTCTAACTCAGAACCATCATTCCCAGTCAAATCCATTACAAAAACTTACACACATCAAAATCCAGAAACACTAGGTACTTCCAATTGTAAGGTGAATAACCACTTAACTTCTTACAGAATCATGCCATATCTAGAAGCATTACCCGAAGTACCACCACAATACATGAAGATCCTAAGAGCCTAAACCCAAATTTGTTGACTACAATTTGGGCTCACCTTTTCTATTTCAATCAAGGACATCAAAACCCACATTGCTGAGTGAGGCAGGCATATCAAGGCAAGTACCAAAAAGGGTATCCGAATGAAAAATAGAAACCAATTGAAAAAAATAAACCCTCAAATACCATGTCATTATGGAAATTCTGACAAAAGCCATCATAACACATCGAGAATATTCTATGAAAAAATCAATCCACGAACAATTCACGCAAAATCTGATTAATCTCTCAAAAATCAAAATACGCAGAAAGGAAACAAAACAATCCAACACATACATGGAATGAGAGATTTGAAGAGAGAAAGTACCTGAATGGGCGATTCAATCAATGATCCAGAAGAAGAGAAACACAAACCCTCAAAAGGGCCTTGTCGTCTCTAATGATTCGGAAACATATACCAATACGCGTATGTAGGTAAATAACAGAACTAACTAAATGGGTATCACTGAAATTTCAAATTAAAGTCTCCTAAGAGAGAGAAAACGAGGAGAGCGTCCGCGTGTGGGTAGAAAAAGAGGTTTCTCGAGAAAATACAAAAAGGAAAATTTCAAAAATGTGGGTCCTAGTCTGAACTTCAATTCATCGAAGATTCACCGAGAAAATCGAGAGAGAGAGAGACAGAGAGAGATCAACGGCGGTGAGTGTCAATTGGGATTTGGATTTAAAAGAGGAGAGAGGAGAGAGGAGAGAGGAGAGAGGAGAGAAATACTGTAGACGGCATTAATGGTGTCACGTTTTCAGCAAGTTTGAAGGGCCCACCTAGATTACCAGAACCTGTCTGCCCGTTTATTGACGCGCCTACGTTTTTCGGATAATAACAATTACACCCCTTCTTATTTCTCACAGTTTTACTGCATGCCCCTCTATTGTCCTAATTACAATGGATCTCTTAAGACATGACAAACTTGTAACATATCCCCCCGAATCAAAATTTAGTAAAATTATT